GAGAATTTTCGCCATGGAGGGAGGGTTCAGAACTTTAAATGTTGGAAATGATCTTGAGACGGATAAAATTACCAGTTGGGCCAGATGCGGCCCACGGGCTACCTGTTCGACCATAAGTTCCATTCATCATCCCTTTCCAAGGCTGTAACAGTAACTTTGATCAATACTGCCACCCCCACAGCCCCCCTACACCTCCCTCATTCCCCCATTCTCCTCTTTTTCCTTCCCTACCCCTCCTGCATACCTTGTAGCCAGGAATATTCAGCTCTCATTCCTGCCCTTGTTTAAGCCAGGTCTCTGTTATTGCCATTGCACCATAACCCCATGTGGTAACTTGTGCCTGCAGCTCATCAACCTTATTTATCACACTCTGAGCATTTACACACATTCACTCCAAAACCAATTTAGTCTGATTTGCATTTCTCTCCTATCTGTTTCAGCGCCTTGGGACGTCCTCCCGACATGAAAGGCGCTTTACAAATGTAATCTTGTTGTTGTTGTCTGATCCTTCTATTTCTGGACTTTATTCCAAAGTAATTGATCTCTCCCAGTTCTCTATGTTCCTTGTTTCTCCTCTCGGATGTTATATCCTGGTTCCTCCCCTCCTGCCAAATTAGTTTAAACCCTCCCCTACAGCACGAGTCAACCTCCCTGTGACAACATTGGTCCCAGCCTGGTTCAGACTGGTTCAGATCGTACCTCTCACACCGCCTCCACTTCATCTCCCCAAACGGTTTCTCCTCCAGCCCCCGCACCGTCTTGTGCAATGTTCCTCAGGGTTCTGTCCTTGGTCCCCTCCCCTTCAACATCTTTATGCTCCCTCTGGGTGTCATCATCCACAGACATTGGGTCACCTGCCACATGTATGCGGATGACACCCAACTCTACCTCTTTGCCTCCACCCTCGACTCCAGGACCACTGCTGTCCTGACAGTATGTCTGTCAGACGTCAAGTCCTGGATGAGAGCTTCAGTTGAAGATCAACAAGACCGAGGCTCCTGATTGGCTCCCGTCAGCGCCTCTTCACCTCAGGTGCTGACAGCATCACCATCCATGGGGCTCACTCCCCCTCACCGACCCAGTCCCGAATCTTGGCGTCTTGTTTGACCCGCAACTGTCCCACCAGGCTCCCCGACGCCATCACCCCCATCCTCACCCCCACCAGGCTCCGTGACCCTATCACCCCCATCCTCGCCCGACTCCACTGGCTTCCCATCACTCAGAGGATACAGTTCAAGATCCTCAGTGGGCTCCGGGCTGCTTCATGTCCCTCGCCTTGCTTGCCCCACTATTGGCGGGCAGGCCTTCTGCCACTCTGCCCCCACTTTCTGGAACTCCATCCCGCAGTCCCTCCATCTCGCCCTCTCCCTCGCCACCTTCAAGACCTATCTCAAGACCCTCCTCTTTGACCGTGCTTTTGATCACCCTGCTTCTCCCCCTACCCTCCACCCTCCCCAATCCCGACCCCCAGCTCAGGTCCATAACTCTGAATGTCCAGCGCCTTGGGACGTCCTCCCCACGTGAAAGATGCTTTACGCATGTTATTCTGTGTTGTTGTTGTTGTTGTTGTTCAGGTGCAGTCCGTCCACTTTCTACAGGTCCCACCTGCCCCAGAACTGGTCCCAAAGCTCCAGGAACCTGAAGTACTCCCTCCTGCACCATTTATTAACCTGGTTTATCTTGCTGTTCCTACACATGTGACACTGGGAGTAATCCAGAGGTTAACCCCTTTGAGTTCCTGCCCTTTCATCTCCTCACAAGCTGCTGTAACTCTGCCTGTAGGATATAGGATTATTATTATTATTATTAACCCTTTTCTTTCCCACGTCATTGGTTCCAACATAAACCACGACTTCTGGCTATTCCCCTCCCCCCGCAGAATGCACCCGTTCTGTGACATCCTCCACCCTGGCACCAGGGAGGCAACACACCATGTGAGACTCAGGTCTGTGGTGGCAGGAATACCTGTCTATCCCTAAATTTACATATTCTCGATGACAATAGCTTTGCTACATTTCCCTGTGCAGTCGTCTGCTGCACTGCGCTGGGGATTTGCTTTAGAATCCCCTCCTCTGGGGTGTCGCCTCCGGTATTCAGCGGTTTGTGAGTGCCACACTCCCGGGGGATTTCTGCGCCGCCTGTTTCTGCTTCCTCCCCGGGAGGTCTCCCAATCACTCTCCTCCTGAACTCTCTGTGGCTGTGGGGTGACCACCTCATGAAATGAGCTTCAGCTTCCTGTACGCACTGCAGAAACCCTGAGCTGGAGCAGCCGGGGACAATTTCTGTTCCTGTGTTTGTACAGTACAAGTGAAACGTCTGGAGCTCCCATATGGCGCAGAATTCCCTCCCTCATTCCTCCACTGCCTCACTCCCACCCTCTCCCCCTCACTGCCTCATTCCCTCCACTGCCTCTCTCCCTCTCACTCTTCCTCCCTCCCTCTTTCACTGCATCACTGTCTCACTCCCACACTCCTCCCCCACTGTATCACTGCCTCCCTCGCTCCCTCACTGCCTCACAACCTTCCTCATCCACTCGCTCACCCCATCACTCCCTCCATCACTGCCTCACTCCCTCGCTCACTCCCTGCCTCCCTCCCTCACTGCTTCACTCCCTCACTCCAACCCTCCCTTTCCTCCTTCACAGCCTCTCTCCCTCATTGCCTCCCTCCCTCCTTCACTGCTTCACTCCCACTGTCCCTCACCCCCTCCCTCACTCACTGCCTCATCCCCTCATTGCCTCACTGCCTCCCTCACTTCCTGCCTCACCCCGTCACTTCCTTCCTCCATCACTGCCTGTGTCCCTCACTCAATCACTCCCATCCTCCTTCCCTCACTGCTCCCCTCTCTCACTGCTCCCCTCCCTCACCATCCCTCACTCCCAGCATTCCTCACTGCCTCACTCTTCCTCCCTCATTGCCTCCCTTCTACCCTCACTCACTGCCTCACTCCCTCACTCCCTCCCTCCCTCCCTCCCTCCCTGCCTCCTTCCCTCCCTCACCGCCTCACTCCCAGAAGTTGAAGTACACATTATTTAATTCATTTTATTGAATTATTTGTTTATTTGGGCCTCTTATTAATTCCGAGTTCGATTATTTCCTATATTTAGTTTCTCCTTACACACAAACACACCTATAGAGAGAGACAGAGAAAGAGAGAGTGCAAGAGATAGAGATTGTGGGAGAGAAAAAGAGAGCGTGTGTGTACTTGTGTCTGTCTCTCTACCATTGCATGTCTCTCTCTCATTCCCTCCCTCCGTACTCTCTCTCACTTTCTCTGTCTATATTTGTGTGTGTATCTCTCAGATCTTTCTCTCCGTGATTGCATCTCTTTCTTTCTCTCTCCGTCTCTCTCTCTCTGTATCACTCTGTGTGTTGCATAGAGACATAGAAACAGGAATAAGCCATTCAGCCCCTCAAGCCTGTTTTGACATTCTATAAGATCACGGCTGATCTGCACCTCAAGTCCAATTACCCGCCTTTGCCCCATATCCCTTAATATCTATCTACCTCTGTCTTGACAATGTGAATGGATCCAGCCTTTTGGGGGAGAGAGTTCCAAATTTCCACTACCCCTTTGGGTGAAAAACAGCCCCTGATTTCACTCCTAAATGGCCTGGCTCTAATATTAAGATGGACCCCTTGTTCTGGATTCCCCACCAGAAGAAATAGTTTCTCTGTGTCTGTGTCTCTGCCTATCTCTCTCTTTAGGTGTGTGTGTCTCTCTCTGTCTGTGTGTGTGTGTCTCTTTCTCTGTCATTGCGCCTATTTCTTTCTCTCTCTCATTGCCTTCCTCCGCCTCTCTTTCTTTTTCTCACTCTGTGTGTGTGTGCCTCTCTCTCTGTGTGTCTCCATCTGTCTATGTGTGTGTGTCTCTCTATGACTGTACCTCTCTCCCTTTCTCTCTTTTGTTCCCTCTCTGTCTCTCAGTCTCTCTTTCTCGTGGTTGTGTGTCTGAGTGTGTGTGTGTCTCTCTGTGTATCTCTGTCTGTCTCTCTCTATCACTGCGCCTTTCTCTCTCTCTCTCTCTCTCTCTCCATTTCTGTCCAGATAAAGTTGCAGCACAAAAGAGATCAGTTTTAGAATTCTGTCAACGAAGTCAAGACACAGAGACTTTCATTCAGACAAAACTTTCTCACAAACGCTCTCTGTTTCTTCTCTCTCTTGCTCTCGATCCACTGATACAGGTTTTAACGCTTAAACAATTGCCCTCTGTCCCCCAACCCCCACGATCCGCAAAGCGCTCTGAGATTTGTGTGAGAGAGACTGAGAGAAAGTGAGAGAGTGAAAGACTGAGAGAGACACTGAGAGAGGGAGAGATTGAGAGAGAGACTGAGAGAGACAGAGAGTGAAACAGAGAGAGAGAGTGAGAGAGAAACTTAGAGAAAGACTAAGAGACAGAGAGACTGAGAGAAAGAAACTGAGAGAGTTTGAGAGGGAGGGAGTGTGTAGGAGTGCAATTGAGAGAAAGTGTGAGAGAGGGAATGTGTAATCAAGTGAGAAAGAGACTGCAAGAGAGAGAATAGGAGTGTGTGAGAGAGAGGGAGTATTGGAGAGCGGGAGTGTGTAAGTGGTGAGAGAAAGAGACTAAGAGTGCAAGAGAGAGAAGAGAAGATGTATAAACGAGAGTGTAACCAAGAGAGGGAGTGAGTGGCGAGAGTATTAGGGATAGAGGGAGCGTGTGTGTGTGAGAGTGTTAGAGATAGAGGGGGTGCATGTGAGGGAGAGAGAGAGAGAGTGCATGAGCGAGCAAGAGCTAGAGGGAGGGTGTGAGCGAGAAAGGGAGTGTAAGAGATAGAGTGTTTAAGCGAGCAAAAGAGAGAAAGAAGGAGTGTGTGCGAAAGAGAGCGCGGAGTCAGTGTGAGAGAGTGTGTAAGAGAGAATGTGAGAGAGAGAGGCTCTGTCACAACAGTGACAGAGAGAGTGACAAAGTATGAGAGTGTGTAAGCGAGCGAGAAAAGAGAGAGATTCTCTCTCTGTCTCCCTCACGCACAACTGACTTACCCACTGTCACGGTGTCTGTGTCGTTGTGAGTGTATGACAGTGCGATAGAAAGCGAGAGAGAGAGAGAGAGAGGCGTATTGAAAAACCAGTCAGATCAAAGCTATAGAGATTGCCAGCTCTCTCTCTCTTTTTCTCTCATTCTCTTTCACACACTCTCTCTCACAAATCCTGTTAACCCTGCAGCCAAAGCCCTCACAGGTGGGGAGGTCCGAGCTGACAAGCAGCAGGAAAGCTTGCCCCAGCAATATCAATGTGCAGTTTTAGGTGGTTAGACTGCAGCAGTTACCCCAACACAGACTCTGGGTCCCCCAAGCCTTGGCTCTTGCCAACCTGGGCCAAAGACTATCCAAAATTAGCTAAGCAGGATACATTCCTCCAAGGCAGAGAGAGAGCATTCCATTCCAACAATTTATCTCTGGGATTTCTGTGATTAGGTGAGATGAATGGAATTCTCAGGTGGATTTGGATACTCTGAAGTATGGTGATGCGTTTCCCTGTGTGTGAGACACCCGGCTGGGCAAATAAAACTCTCACTGACACTCTATCTCGGTCTGACACTCTCTTTCTCTCTGTCTCTCTCACAGTCTCTCTCTCAGTCTCATATAATCATAGAATTATACAGCATAGAAGGAGGTCTTTCAGGCAATGGATTCCAGATCCAAACAACTCGCTGTGTAAAACAAATTCTCCTAGCAAGCACAAGATTTCCTCTTTGGTCTCTAATTCACCCCACCCTACGTTTGACTAACTTTTTATTCTTTATATGCTTATAAATACCATATGGAGGCAGAGGGAGTGGCTGATGTACTGAATGAGGAGTTTGCATCTGTCTTCACAAAAGAAGAGGATGCAGCCAATGCCACAGTATTGGAAGAGAGGGGAGAGAAATTGGATAAGATAAGAATAAACTGAAAGGAGATACTAAAAAGGCTGATGGTGCTCAAGGTAGATAACACCTGAAGATCTTCCTCTTCTACTGTGTCCTTTGTCACCTCTCCTCTCCCTGGCTCAGTGTCAGGCTTCATCACTGTTAATCGCTCTGCACCTTGGTCCAGACGGGAAGCATCCTAGGTTACTGAGGGTGAAATAACAGAGGCTCTAGCCACAATCTTTCAATCTTTCAATCCTCCTTGGACACTGGAGTGCTGCCAGAGGGCTGGAGGGTGGCAAATGTTATTCCCCTGTACAAAAAGGGGTAGAAGGATAAACAACAACAACAACAACAACTTGGATTTATATAGCGCCCTCCATGCCGGACGGCGTCTCAGAGCGCTTTACAGTTTAGGATCCCGGGACCGAACCAGGGGGAGGGGGAGGTGGGAAGGTGACCAAAGGCGCGGTCGAAAAGAAAGGTCATTTCGGGAACCCGGGAACTACAGCCAATCAGTCAAACATCAGTAGTGGGGAAACTTCTGGAGACGATAATTCGGGACAAAATAAATTCTCACTTAGAAAAATATGGTTTAATAAAGGACAGTCAACACGGATTTGTTAAAGGCAGATCGTGTCTGACAAACCTGATAAGAGTTTTTTGATGAAGTGACTGAGAGGGTGGATGAAGGTAGTGCAATAGATGTAGTTTATTTAGATTTTCAAAAGGCATTTGACAAAGTGCCACATAAGAGACTTATAAACAAAATAGAAGCCCACGGTATTAAAGGGACTGTGGCAACATGGATCCAGAACTGGCGAGGAGACAGAAAGCAGAGAGTGGTAGTAAACGGTTGCTTTTCTGACTGGAGGGAGCGGTGTGGTGGTGTCCCTCAGGGGTCGGTATTGGGACCACTGCTCTTTCTGATCTATATAATGATCTGGACCTGGATATAGGGAGCAGTTTCCAAATGTGCAGGTGATACTAAGCTAGGAAAAGCAGTTAATGGTGAGGAGGACAGCACCAGACTCCAAGAGGACTTAGACAGACTGGTAAAATGGGCAGAAACGTGGCAGATGAGGTTTAATGTGGAGAAATGTGAACTGCTGCATTTTGGAAGGAAGAATGAGGAGAGGCCATATAAGCTGATGGGACAATCTTAAAGGGGGCAAATGAACAGAGAGACCTGGGGGTCCACATAAGCAAATCTCTGAAGGTGGCAGGACAGGAAGACAAAGCTGTTAAAAAAGCAAACGGGATACTAGGTTTTATAAATAGGGGCATAGAATTCAATAGTCAGGAGGTTGTGTTGAATATTTATAAAATGCTGGTTAGGCCTTAGTTGGAGACTCAGTTCTGGGCACCGCACTTTAGGAAAGATGTTGGGGCATTGGAGAGGGCGCAAAGGAGGTTTCCCCAGGATGGTACCAGGAATGAAGGACCTTAGTGATGAGAAGAGGTTAGCGAAACTAGGATTATTCTCCCTGGAGCAGAGAAGATTAAGAGGGGATTTAATAGAGGTTTTCAAGATCATGAGAGGATTTGATAGTATGAACCGGGAAAAACTGTTTCCACTGTCATGTGGGTCAGTAACCCGAGGACACTGATTTAAAATGGTTGTTAAAAGAAACAAAGGAAAGGTTAGGAAAAATGTTTTCACCAGCGAGTTGTCAGATCTAGAATGCATTACCTGAAAGAGTAGTGGAAGCCGATTTAATAACAACTTTTAAGAGAGAAATAGATGGGTATTTGGAGAGGACAGGACTGCACGGCTATGGAGAGAAAGCGGACCAGTGAGATTGAGTTGGAAGCTCTTTTCGGAGCTGGCACAGACATGATGGGCTGAATGGCCTCTTTCTGTGCTGTATGATTCTATGCCAGTGAGTAGAGGGGCAAGACGGTGGAGCTGGGAGGTAAGGAGAAGGTAGGGATGGGGTCGAGGGAGCAGATGGTCGGTTTCATGCAGGTTATGGTGGTGATGAAAGAGGAGGGCACAACAGGTTCAAAGGTCTGTAGGGACTGGGATGGGAGGGGGAGATGAGGATGGGGTAGCAGATGCAGTGACAGAGGCAGCTGAGCGGATTCCCTCGATTTTGGATTTGAGGAAGTCCAGCCTCGCAGTTGGCATTGGAGGTGAGGATGGGTGAGGCGTGAGAGGGTGGGTGGAGGAGCCAGATGGTAATGGAGAAGAGGAGCCTGGGGTTGTCCTTGGCCTCCAAGATTATCTTGGAGGAGACAATAATTTAGCGGAGGCGAGAGCGTAGCGGTAAGATTTGATAAGGTCCAGCCAGATCTGCCGATGGACCGCTAAGTTTGATTTAAGCCAGATGGATTCAGCAGCACACACCTGAGCTTTAAGGGAGCGGAGGTTTCTGGTGTACCATGGTGACTTATGTGAATAGGAGACACTTCGAGAGGAGAGGGGAGCAAGGGAATCGAGAGTGTAGGCGAGGGAGATGTGGAGAAGAGTGAACGAGGGAGATGAAGTGATGGTCCGAGATGGCTTTGTCGATGATGGTAAGGTCTGAGACGTTGAGGTAGGGGAGGACTTGGGGGAGATGAAGTTTAATGTGGAGAAATGCGAAATGTCCCTTTTGGGAGATAAACTGAGGAGAGGCAATATAAGCTGATGGTAGATCTTAAAGGGTGAAGGAACTGAGAGACCTGGGGGGTCATATAGTAAATCTTTGAAGGTGGCCGGACAGGCAGATAAAGCTGTTAATAAAAAGCATCTGAGACAAATAGGGGCATAGAATACACAAGTCAGGAAGTCATGACGAACCTTTATATAAAACACTGGTTAGGCCTCAGCGAGAGACTGGGTTCAATTTGAGGCCCCACACCTTAGGAAAGATCGATCGGGATGGTACCAGGAATGAGGGATTTCAGTTATCAGGAGAGGTAGAGAAGCTGGGATTATTCTCACTGGAGCAGAGGAGGTTAAGAGGAGACTTAATAGAAGTTTTCAAAATAATGAGGGGATTCGATAGGGTGAACAAGGAGAAACTATTCCCACTGGCGGATGGGTTGGTAACCCGAGGACACCCATTTAAAATAGTTGTTAAAAGAAACAGAGGGGAGGGGAGGAGAAATGTTTTCACACAGAGAGTTGTTGGGATCTGGAATCATTGCTTGAAAGGCCGGTGGGAACCGATTCAATAACAGCTTTTAAGAGAGAAGTAGATAATTATTTGGTGCGGACAAGTTTGCAGGGGCTATGGGGAGAGAGTGGGGGAGTGGGGTTGATCAGAGCTATGGGGAGAGAGCGGGGGAGTGGGGTTGAATTGGAAGCTCTTTTCAAAGAGCCGGAACAGACACGATGGGCCGAATGGCCTCCTTCTGTGGTGTATAATTCTACGATTCTCCACCTAAAATATTTAATGATGTCTGTGTTTTGTGGGTAAAACTAATACACATGAGTGGTGAAACTTCATTAGATAAAGCTGTAAAAAGGGCATATGGGATTCTAGGCTTTATAAATAGGGGCACAGAGTACAAGAGTCAGGAGGTGATGATTAACCCATATAAAACACTGGTTAGACCTCAGTTAGAATACTGCGCCCAGTTCTGGGCACCGCACTATAGGAAGGATGTTAAGGCATTGGAAAGGGTACAGAGGAGGTTTACGAGGATGGTACCAGGAATGAGGGGCCGTGATGATGAGGAAAGGCTGGAGAGGTTAGGATTATTCTCATTGGAGCAGAGAAGGTGACGAGGACCTAATAGAGGTCTTCAAAATGATGAGGGGATTTGATAGGTTAGAAAGTGAAAAAGTGTTCCCACTGGTGGGTGTGTCGGTGACTCGAGGTCACAGATTCAAAATGGTCTCTAAAAGAAGCCGAGGGGAGGGGAGAAGAAATTTTTTCACGCAGCGAGTTGTTGGAATCTGGAACGCATTGTCTGAAAGTGTGGTCGAGGCCGATTCAATAACTACTTTTAAAAACGCGGTGGACGGGTATTTGAGGAGGACGGGTTTGCAGGTTATGGGGAAAGGGCCGGGGAGTGGGATTGACATTACATTGCTCTATTCAAAGAGCCGGCACAGACTTGATGGGCCGAATGGCATCTTTTTGTGCTATAAAATTCTACGATTCGATGACTCTATGAATGCCAACATACCGTAAGCCTTCCTAATTGCTTGCTGTACCTGCAAACTAACTTTTTGTGACTTGTGTACAAGGATACCCAAAGTCCCTCTGAACGCTAACATTATC